AGTACTACTACTGCTATACTACTGCTATTACTACTACTATTAATAGTACTACTGCTATACTACTGTTATTACTACTACTATTAGTACTACTACTGCTATACTACTGCTATTACTACTACTATTAATAGTACTACTGCTATACTACTATTATTACTACTACTATTACTACTATGATGATGATGTTGATATCTTTATTGTCATTGTACGGAGCAGAATGAAATTACATTTAAGAACACCAATTCAAGAAGACACACACAGGACAAAAACATACTATACTACTACTATTATTACTACTACAACTGCTGTTATTATTATTACTACTACTACTATTACTACTACTACTACTACTACTACTACTACTACTACTACTACTATTAATGCAATTATTACCATTACTGACACTATTGTTATTACCACTATGATTACTAGTAACTACCATTACTATTACTACTTCTACTATTAGTTCCACAGTCTGACTCAGTCACCACTGTTCCCTGTCTAGATTTATTACTAATAATAATAATATTAATGCAACTTTTCACATGCAGGAAGGTCAGATTTTTTTTATTCTGATCCACAATTATACATACATAATATATTCAGACATTTATATCAATCTTTAAAAGGTGGTGCTGAAGTATTTAATTTGACAAGAACAAGGCCTGTTCAGTGTCTGTTAGTGATCGTGATCGACTGCAGACAGTAGTTTCTTTTTGGCAACAGAAGAATAAATAGTTTGACAGTCACTCTAAAAGGCATGAATATTTTTGATTTTTTTATTTGTTGCTAAAAAAACACTAATTTCTAAAAGTCATTATAAAATCATGTGAATGTAAACTCTGGCATTAAAAGTTGTGGGCGACATGTGTTCATTTAAGGAATGCAAGGCTTTTCATTGAACGACCTTATCTTTCTTTTTTTTTTTTTTTTTCAGGTCTCTAGAGTCCAGGGGTTGACTTATCCAATAGCTGTACCCATCTCAGCACCCGACTCTCCTGACTGTCCCGACTCTCCAGGGACGACAGAGGCAAAGAAATGAAGAAGAACCAAAGTAGCTGCAGTTAGGGTTCCTCTCCTCCTCCTGTATCTCCTGTTATTTAATGTTCCAGTGCATCAACCAGTCCCAGTCTGCTGCTCGTCCATCATACCTCGCAGCTACAAGCAGAACTGTTAGCCTGACCTGACGGACACATGGAGAGGTTCTGTATTTATGTGTTTGAATAATTGTCCATGAAATAAATTTTAACCTTAAATCTGCCTCAAACTGAGCCCCGTTGTTTGGTTTAATTTTTTTTATTCTGCTCTGTGTTTGTACTATTAGGAAAATATGTTATGAGCTACGAAAATAATTAAATTATGACATTTCTGTTTTTAACCTCTCCAGAGATTACAAAAAACTTTGCATTGTTAAAATCCTAAAAAGCACCAGCAGCTCTTTATTTTAAAATCCACCTGACTCAGCTAAAATACAGACCTACAAATGAGATGAAGACAGCTCACCTGGCCTGCCCAGTTGTCCACACCCCTCCTCAAGGTCGGAACTTGTGACATCATCCAACTGGATCGGCTCAGTCAGAACAGCAAACAGGAAGAACGATGAACCCAGCTGGACCCTGGTCCAGTAAGTAACCCAGACCCAGTCCTCCCACAGGAACCACCCATCTTCCTGTCTTCATCACTGCAGGTCTGAATGAGGGTCAGCTGGTCTCCTGAAGGCTGCGGCACCAGATAGACTGCAGGAAAATACTCCAGAGAGTGTCCTCGACATGATGAGGGAAAACTTGTGATGAAACTGTTCAGAAGCATTTAGTGTAATTTAGATAATTTACCTGAGCTCAGTGTGAACAGTGTTACACAAACTGCCTGTGCTCCATCTCTGCAGTCATTCCTACATCCAGTAATGTAAAACATAACATAAAATGCCAATAAAACTCATTTTTAAATATGTTTGTATATAAAAGTCAATAGAAAAGCAAGTGTAAAGGACGAATAGACCTCGCCGACCTTGAATACTGGAAATAACTGAATGTACAGGTGCAGCTCAAAAAATCAGATCATGAAAAAGTTACGTTTTTTGTCAGTCAGTTCTGAAAGTGAAACTCGTATACTACATAGATTTATTACACAGAGGGAAATAGTTTAAATCTTGTAAATTTGATTATTATGGCTTACAAATAATGAAAAAAGACACTTTTCTCACTACTTTTGGCTGTGTGAGGGAAACTCTTAACACATTTTACCCCACGGACAACAGCTGCCAAAGTGTGTCACTGTCATTTTTGACTAAGTAAAAAAAAAAAATCTCAAAGGTATTTATGCAACATTTTCCACTTATACACTAGTAGACAACTTAGACAAAGGTTTTGATTTTGAAAAAAGTGTTTCCAAGTATTTCCTCTCGCATAAAATCATGCTTCCTGTTCCTTCCGGCTGAAGACATGGAAGATCAAATCATCCTGGAAAGAGGTCAGTTTCATAAAATTTCTTATGATATTCCCTCAGACATATTCATAATTATTTAATCTTTCAAGTCTCTAGAATAACCCTCCCCCCCAAAAAATTGTACCTAGAATAAATACACAGTATATWTTTTTAATGGGCTTATTTCTGTAAGTGGCAACAAAAGTTGCCAATGGGTAAATAGCTTGTCGCTAACTAAAGGAAAACACTTCTGCAGGATTGTGTCTAATTTAATTCAAATTGCAGAATGATGTACAATGTCTTATTTTAGCCTTCTTAGGATACTCTTCCTAGCTAAATAAATCCTTAGGTATTCAAGGCCTGTGTGTGTAGCTTGTAAAAGATACCACACAATCTGATACAGCTATTTTTATGGGGACCTGGCATTGACTTCCATTATTTTCTACAGCCTAACCCTGACCGCCAACCCTAAGGCTAACCTCACAGTTACCTACATGACCCTAAAACTAACCTAAACTCAATTCACACCTTAGCCGTAAACTTAAACCCGACCCACCAGCGGTGTTTCCCCTTATGGGGACAAGATTCAGGTCCCCATACCAGTCAGAGCCCTATATGTAACATTAGGTCCCCACAAGTACGAGTGCCAAAAACTGTCCCACAAAGTAGGGAATACCAGTCCACAAATAAATCCCCTTTCACCCATGGTATGTTTTTTATATAAACATTTTTCATAAAATAATAGGTCCAAATAAAAAAATATATATCATGTATGTGCTTTTTTTTCCTTAGGCAAGTCCTGCACTGTAGCAGAGGTCCTGGCCATGCTGCAGGACCCTGCAGGACTCAGGAAACTGTGGCAGATGCACTTCATTTGCGTGTGAAAAGTGTGATGTGACAAGAAGTACCACACTGAGTAGAAWATGCATGAAAGATGGAATTTATGGGATAAAATTAATACATATACGTGTTATTAGAGGTTCTACGGAAAAAAGTTTTGAATATAAAAAAATCTAGAATAAAAAAACAGTTCGAATTGTTTAAAAAGAAAAAAATTGTATAGGTCCTCTGGACGGGTTCTTCTCTAATGAAACGTTTCGTCTCTCCAAGAGACTTCTTCAG